ACCAAAGATAGGAGCTGGAGCACTGCAGGAAGGGATCCACATGACTCAGGAAAGGAGGATACAGCTGGGGCTGCCCAACCACCACAAAAATCATTCCAGTCTCTGAAGTACTTATCACTCCAAAACCTGTTTGTTTCCAGCACCGTCCCCTCTGCACAGCAAACTGCTATTTTAGGCCATGTGATGATTAATCACTTACTTTCATACTTCCATTTAAGTAGGGAATGTTTTGGCTTATTTTTAATAAATATATTCAAAGTCTATACAGTGTTAATTTGCTCCATAATCTTTCATCACAAGGATCCCAAACACAGGAATAATTTGGTTAAAATTGCAAATGGGGTATGATTGCAAGGCTGCTCAAACACTCCCCAGGCTGGGTGACCTAGGAAGACAAACATAGGTCATGTGCTCTACAAACTGCTACTGCTGGGGGAGGGGTGGAGGGCAGGTGGGACCTGAAGGTGGCTATGGGTTCAAGTAGACCATACAACACTCAGTAACCAGGAAAAGGTCACCAAGTACAAACCAGGACACCACACACTCTATCATTATATTGCAGCTTTCTGTAGGCTGCTCAGAAAAACTCACTCTAGCTTCAAAAATAAAATAACCAAGCCAAACCCACTCCTACCCCCTTCAGACCCTTCTCTAGTGTGTCCTGGAGGTCTCTGAGAACTGACTGGCAGAAAACTAATGAGGGAACAGGCTCAGCAATTCTCCTGCAGTGTCACAATTCTCACTTCTGCTCTCAGACAACAGGATCCCTTTGTCAAACAGAAGTAGCTGCAAATAATCTACAACCTGTTTTCTAAATCCACCAAAAAGAACAGGCTCCTTCCTATAGTCATGTAACATGACATTCAGTTTCACCACGTTTTCAGTCATCCCACAGCTCCATGTCTCCTGTTAGCATGGAGAAAAGCTATTTCTGCTCCCACAGAACATCATTTCCTAACCATAAGGTGAACAAAGAACTTACCTCTATCTGCTTATCTTTGAAGATGTTGTTGATGCTGCTGTTAAAAGCTGCTCCAGAGAACATAGAGGTTATTGGGTATGTCAGGTCTAGAATAGTCTTAAACACTGAGTTCATAACCTACAAGAAAGAAAAAAAAAAGGCATTTCAAAGGTAAATCTATTCCAGAATCCACATCAATGTGTGCAGTAACAGCTGCACTTTGAGACATCACATTCCAGAGCCTAGAGCCAACGTGCTGGAAGCATCACTAGTGAGTGCAGAAGGTGTTGAGAGGACACAAATACAGCTTGAACACCTATAACCAGGAGCTCTTTGTATGGTAAATAAATGTAAAACCAAAAGCAGCAGCAACCTCTGCAGCCAGTCTGCAATCACTCTGGAAAAATGGACATTGCATTGCTTCCTTGCACCCCAAAATCAGCCTGCCTGGGCACAGGCCTCAGCCTGCACATGCACATGGGTGGCACAGCTTAATCCTTTATAGCTTTTAGACAACAAAAAGATGTTACGAGTTGTCTTCCTCTTCACTACCCTCTCCACAGCACCTGTATCTTTGTTCATCTCTTCTCATGTTGGGGTCACACCTCATTTTTCTCCCAGTCTTAAAGCTTTTCTCTGCCTCAGCATAAGCACTTAGAAAACTGGGGCTGTGATTCTCTGGGACTGCAATAAGGTTCACTCAGTCACACATTAAAGGGCTTTAAACACTTTGTGTGTATCAGGGTTGATTATCTGCCATTTCCAGAGTGAGTTACTGGGTATGGATGTTGTGGACACAGCATTTAGGTACTGCTACAGGCTCTCTGCTGCAGCCAGAGAAACCAAAACCAAACCACATCAGGTTGTTGCAGCACACAGCAGCAGCTGTGTCTCTTCTAAACACACATGCACTGGAATTCAGCTTCCATGGATGTTTCTTCCCACTTAACAACATTATTACACCTATGGACTAACCTACAAGAGAAAATGGTGAAAATCCCTATACTCTATAGCATTATGGGCATTGTATTTGCTCCATGACCAGGTTATTGGTCTGAAATCCTAACAAAATTCAATGCCTAATACATTACACCCTAGTTAAAATGTAACAGAAGACCAAAAAACCCAATGAGTTCCTTCCCAGTTAATTAAGGTTTCACTGGATGAAATATCTTGTCTCTCTACATGTTCTCTATAACTTAACAACCAGCTTCACAGAGAACAGGGCACTGTACCCAGGCACAGACCTACAGTGTGGAACAGCCTCTGCTGTCTGTTAAAGCAGCTGTAAGCAACATCTGGCCTTGGCTTTACTCTAGCTATGACTTACAGAACAGCAGGATTAGCCTAGATTGTCTTGCCCAGCTGCTTTTAAATATATATTAAGAATCTACCCAGAGAATACATGTCCAAGCATAAAAAAAAAAAGATGATTAAAACCAAGTATATGAATAGGAAATGTGGGAGAATGCAAAAGGCTGAGCATAAACCCAATTACAAACTGTCAGCTTCATTCACATCTTCCTTTTGGGTTCTGCTGGGGTGAGGACAGTGTGCCAACCTAACTATAGACATGCTACCCACTGCTTCAGAGGGAAATGGAATTAGTTTGCTACTTAAAATAGGGATTAGGTCTCTGACAGTACTCAGAATGATTAAGTCAGGGGAAGAGGCATTTACAAAAAGCCCTTTATTTAATACCCAAGAAAAACCTCTCCCACTCAGCCCCAACCATCAAGGCTTCCCTTGCTGCAAATGGTATTTATAATGCTGAGCCTCTACACTTCCCCTGCAAGTGAGGCTTGCAGTAATATTGTCCATGAGCAAAATACTTCTCATTAACAGTTATTCCTTAATACTCTCATTTCTCAGAACTGGAGATGCCCTTTTAGCTGATGCTGATGGCCAACAGCCTCCCTCAGCTTTCCAGGAATAGCTGCTAGCACCTCCCATTCCCCACATAAATTCACTTAAAGATGACCCTCTGGAAAGGTAGTTGGAGCCTCCTGGCTCTCACTCCACTTCATCCTTCTCTACTAACCAAGAGCCAACCCTGGCAGCTCCATGAGCAATGCACCTCACAGCACCAGGATGGGAAGTCCAGCTCTGAGGCAGCTCTCAGGAGAGAGCAGGGAATTTTCAAGTCACAGAATTACAGACTGGTTTGGCTTTGAAGTGACCTTAAGATCATCTAGTTCAACCTCTCCCGTAGGCAGGGACACCTTCCACCAGCCCAGGTTGCTCCAAGCCCCATCCAACCTGGCCTGGAACACTCCCAGGGATGGAGCAGCCACAGCTTCTCTGGGCAACCTGTGCCAGTGTCTCATCACCCTCACAAGGAGGAATTTCTTCCCAATTCTTCATTAACTTCTCATCAACTTCCATTTCTGCATCTCTGCTGCAAGATGAGCTCTCTCTTCAAAATGCCCTTCAATCCAAAAATCATTGCTCAAAGCAGCCCTGGGGTATAAAGTAACCTCATCAAGGCAAGGACAAGGTCCTGCTCACAGAGCAGAAGGACAAGAGCAAACACACATAGTGATGGACCAGAGGAATTGTAATCTCTGGATATTTTGTTCTTTGATGCAGAATTGTGGCAAACTGGTGTCCAACCCTAGCATAATCCTAGGATTTTTCAATATTCCTGAGTACAAAAAAACTCCCTACGGGTATGGAAAAACTCGATGCAAGAACAAAAATTAAAAGGAGATCCAATATTTTTTAAACTACTCAAGAGAACATCCAGATTTTCCTTTAGTGTTTTCTCAGTACTCACCTATAAAGTTCCAATGAAACAAACAAAGGAATTCACAAAAAAACCAACATTAAAGACCAAATAACAACATAACTCAGGGCAACAGTTTCAGGTAAACAACACTACAGGGATAGATTTATCCTGAAGGCAGGAATTAGAGATCATGGAAGTTCAGGTTTAAAGATAAACTACTAAGAAATCTAAGAGTTGAATACAGTTAAAATGAATCTATCTGAAACACTCTGAGTCAGGTAAGGAGGTGCATGTTTAAATCAGCCTGTGACACTAACATACCATCTGTATGATCAATAGCTGACAGAGTCACTGCAGGGTCCAGGTAGGAAGGTTTGGGGCTTAACTGGGTATTTCAGAGCATCTCAAAGCATGAGGCATGTTGGGATTTCACTTGCTGCCTTTCATCTGAATTTCCCAGTTCCAATGCTTGATTCAAGGTTCCTTTCAACCCCCCAAACAATGCAACTGAAATGGTAAATACAAACCCCAGTTACAAGACAATTCGTTAATGTGTGACCTTAATGAACCTTTGAGTTACTTCAGACTCACTGGGTGTGTTAAAACTTTAGCCTGTGTTACCTTTTTTTGTGCCTGAACCAGTGCTGAGGCACAGCCCCTGTGACTCCCTTCACCCAGGGGACTGGGCTGAGTGATTTGTGGATCTCCTCTGCTCAGGAGGCATCTTTCCCATACCATCCTGCCTGTTCTCCATGCCCATCCAGTCTGGCAACGTTTCCCTGTTCAGCTCAGATTCTGTGTTTGTTTGCAGGGCTTGGAGCTGTTGTTGTACAGAAGCTCTGGCACAGCAACAAAATCAGAGCGTGGGATGAACAGTGATTTACAACACATTGCACCTACTAATGATGCTCTCCCTCCAACTCCCCCCCCAGCAAAGGGACAGTTTGTGGGCATCTCACCCTCCCCACCAACCCTTCTGCTGAGCCCTGCAGTCAGTCACATGCTGCTTCTCCACACTGCCAAGCCATCCTCAACCTGCACCAGGTCCCACAGGGGCTGTGGGCATCACTTAGGATGGCAGGGAACGCCATCCTCAACCTGCACCAGGTCCCACGGGGGCTGTGGGCATCACTTGGGATGGCAGGGAATAGCTTCTTCCTCCAAACAACAGACAGAATGGATCAAGAGCAGCTGAGGGAGCTGGGCAGGGGGCTCAGCCTGGAGAAGAGAAAGCTTTAGGGACCTTATTGCTCTCTACAACTACCTGACAGGAGGTTGTAGCCAGGTGGGGGTTGGTCTCTTCTCCCAAGTAACAAGTGACAGGACCAGAAGAAATGGCCTCAAATTGCTCCAGGGGAGGTTTAGGTTGGATATTAGAGAAAACTTCTTCACCACAAGAGTCCTCAAGCTCTGCCACAGGCTGCCCAGGACAGTGGTGGAGTCATCATCCCTGGAGATGGCAGTGCCGGGTGGACTTAATGATCTTAAAGGTCCTTTCCAACGGTTCTATGACTCCACGATTTTAAAAGGTGTATCAGGATCTAACAGCAGCTGGATCTGACCCAGCTGAAGCTGCTGTGCTGCCTCCCCATGCCCTGGGCCAGTCTGGCTGCTCTGCAGGAACACTCTGCTCATGGAACTGAGCTGGATGAGAATTACCATGACAGGAAAAAAGGACTAATTTTTGGCCAGATCAGCTCATTAAACCCCAGCATCCCTCAATGTGCAAACAGAGCAGTGTCAGAGAGGCAGAACCTCTTGAGTGCAGCCTCCGAACCTCCACATTTATTAGAGCTGTCGGTACAACCACAAGGGTCAGCAAACATCAGCAACTTCCCACCCAGCCACTCTTCACTGCCCACGTGGGAAGCTCTTTTAGCTCCACATTCCTATAACCACGTTCCCTTCAACAGCAGAATATTCCATTCTTTGTGACATATTTATACTTTGAAATATTAATTCTCCAATTCAAAACCCCAACAATCAGCAAACACAAAAGCTTTGGCTTGTTTGCTTTGTTGGTTAAATAGAGGTACAGAGGATACACAGAGGCAATAAATAGTAACTGGTCTGGCTGGGAATTTTCGTCTCCCTCTGTGTTTTGACAAAAGTCATTTATTTCTTTGCTGCTTCATTAGGTGCAGAAAACCCCATTAAAATGCCCCTTCTCCCAGCCTCAAGTGTACAACTAGAGACAGGTCAATTTCTAAAAATACCAAAGAGATAAATAACTGGAGATAAATAACCCAACATTTAGTTTGATGGATTAAAAAGATATATATAAAAAGCTCAGAGTTAGCTAATCTATCCCAATGAAGACACTTCCAAACTGCCCCCAGGTGAAACAACAAGGTTCTACTCAAAGAGCACTCAGCAGTAACCTGCACTAGCACAAGCTCACAGCCCCAGAGGAGCAGGATCAGCAGGTTCTGGAGCAGGGAATGCTCAGCCTTTGTGTATAGCACAGCCTGAATGAAGGAGCTCCCAGAGCAACCTCCTGCACAGCCACCACCTGCCACAGTCCCAGCTCTGGAGAGCAGCAGGAACAGCCCTGCAGCTTTGGGACACTGGGAAGGTAGGGGTTAGCTGGTGGATTTTTCATTCAGTCCCTTCCAAGCATCCCCAACAAACCTCCCTGCTGTTACTCAGAGAGAGCACTGGGCCTCAGGGAAAGGAGCTCCTCTCCCTGCTCAGCCTCCAGCTGCTGCAACACAACACGAGAGACAATACCTCAGAATAGCACTGATAAAAAGATTTATGATCCCCCAAGGCACTCTGTACATTAGCTGTGATCTTGGAGAGAGGGTTTTCATGGTTCCTTCAGCTTACAATGCAGCCATTCTGCTGGACAGTGCTGTTAGCAGTGGAATGAGATGAGCTTTAGGGTCTCTTTCAGCTCAAACCATTCTAGGAAACTGATAAACAGATTCACCTTCCCAAAACTTGGCTTAAGTACGAAAACAAGCTTTTGCTTGCATTAACTATTGAAAGTTAGGAATTTCTCCGAATTTCTCCTGACCCAGAGTCCCACCACTGTAGAGTGTGCAGGCAGGATTGGGAATTACACACTTGGTAGGTAGTTTAGAGAAGGATTACCTCTGTCACTCAGTTCCACTGACAAATGATAGCATGTGAGAGAGAATCACACAAGAGAGAAACACATGTGTTGAGAGTTGGAAAGGAAACAGACTCCAGCACATAAAGAGAGAAGATACAACAAAGATAAACACACGTGAACACACTGAGACATCACTGGTGTTGACAGTGTGACTGGGATTTGTGCAAAGCATTTGCCTCCTGAGGCAGAGGACAGAGCAGCTCTCCCAGGTCAGCCCTCACTGCTGGGCAGGTCTGTTCCATCACCCAGAGGTGCAGGTGGCTGCACCTTCCTCAAGTGATGCCCATGCCCTGCTGCCTGCCAAGGCTGTGGTTGGACTCTCCCTCCATCCAAGGAGGGAAGTGCAGCATTCCTAGTGCTTACCATGGCCCACTGGCGAGCTTTGATCCTCATCTGGTTGTAGCTGCGCTCCTCGGCGTACAAGGCGCTCATGAAGGCGCCAATGGATGTTCCTCCAATCATATCCACTGGGATTCCAGCTTCAATCAGGGCTCTGATCACACCCACCTGGGAGCAGCCCCTGTGCCAAGGAAGGAAGAGGGGGAAAATGCCATTATCAGACCAACAGCCATTCAAAGAGGGTAAAGACATGAATGGTGCCTTCTAAGGAACCTGAGCATGCACAGCTGAACTGCCAATCTCTTGCTCAACAAACCCCAGTGCCAGGAACAAATATGATGAATGCAGGAATCTTCAAACAGACTCCCTGAGGATCTGAGGGAACACGACCACACAGCCTGGCTTTGGTATGAAAGGCAGTGAGATGAAAACAGCCAGGAACCAAGCCCGTGGACAGCCGAGGGGAAAGTCAATGTGGCTTTGAGGAAGCAAAATCCACTGAGGTCCCTCCAAAGCAGCCAGGAACAGCTGGATTTCAGAGCCCTTTCCATGAGTTTCTTTTCCAGTGATTCTTCAAACAAACTCAGCCAGCCTAGGATCACTGGAGAGGTCACCACATGGATTCAAAACTCATTTGAAGATGGAAACAAAGAGCAAGAAAAGCCAAACAGCAATGGGAGTGCAGAGGTTGAGTCTGCACACAGATCCAGGAGTGGGGAAAATGAGGAGGCAACGTTTGAGGATGATACAAATTCCTTCAGGAGAGTAAATGTACTCCTTGATTTCAAAAAGTGCAGAAAGGACTCAGAGAAATGATGGAGTCAAGTGATAAACAACAGATGAACCTCAGTGCTGACAGGACAAGAGGAAAACAGAAGCAGCAATGCCCCTACAGCAATGAGCTCTTATCCAGCTCTGCTCACATGGATTTGGGAACCACTTGGGAATATTCTCTGAAAAATATTAAACTAGTGTTCAGTGCAAGTTCAAGTGGCAAATCAAAGAAACCAGAATAAAACAGAAAACATAAGAACAGACATCCAGGACAGACCAGCACTTGGAAAACTGCAAGCAAGCTCAGACTTCTCACCCCAAAAGACAGAACAGAACTAGAAAACCACAGAGAGAAGCACAAAAGATGATCAGAATGTGGCGAGGACTTCACATGAGAACAAACTAAACTCACAGGCTGGGGGAGATGATGACATGCAGGGCCAGCAATGAGATCAGCATGCAGCAATTTTAATGTAAAGGAAAGAATTCACACACAGACAGGTGTATGCAAAGCACAGCTTGGGGAACCCACTGCTACCACATGCTGAAGAGGTCAAATCACAAATGGATTTAAATGTGGAAAGGATGAATCAAAGGTACCAGGCTGTCAGTGGCTACTAAACATGACAAATGGGAGGTGCAAGCTGCTGTTCAGGAGGCTCAGAGGCTGCTGATCGTTGCAAATACTCATTTCTGAAGCAATCACTGTTCCCTGCCATCAGCAATGAGAGAGCAGAGGTAGAATGTTTGATCTGATCCTACAGACACCTGATCAAATCTGATCTTCTGTCTCCTAATGGAAAGGGATTCCTGCCCATCCTACAGAACCATTACAGACACAGAGGGATCTGCAGAGGATTGCCCAAAATTACAGCCTCTAGTTTCAAATCCTTAGTCCAATTAGCACCAAGCGTTCTAGTTAGGTCATCCCAACTGCATGGACACTTTGCAGCCTAAGCCACACAGCAGTAAAACCCTTCCTTTTCCCATTTTCCTGTCCCCTACAGTTTGCTCTGTTTCCATCCTCTTTCTCCTTGCTGTTTACATCCTATAAATACTTGCTAACAGCTGCCAAGTCCACCATAGGTGTCATTTGGCCAAGCTATGCTGAACACATTCTTTCCATCCAAATAAATCCCCTCCAGCTGCTGAAATGCTTTGGGACAGGTTTGTGGTTATCCTGGTGTAAATGACTTCAATGACAGATCTGTGCTGGTGTAATCCATGAGCAGAAAATGGCTCATTTAGTTTTCCTCTCCAAATTCTCCTTCCTCTCTTCTCCTGCTGCTCCTTCTCATAAGATGCCCTGAGTTAAAAGGATTATACTTCTATCCTGCCATTGGAGCCCACTGGTTTGAAGCTTTTAGATGGCTTTTAGGCTATTTTTGCACTCTGCTGCTTGTGCCTGGCACTTCCTGCTGCCTCAGCCCTGATGTTACACTGAGGAGCAGACCTTGCCCTATCCTCCTGCTCTCTGGAGATAGCCTACATCATGTGGATTTGTCAAGACATGTTAAGTGCTGTACAGCATTTCCTGCTTGGAGGACAATTTTAAACCAGCCAGGACCAGCTCCAGACTGGATTCTCTCCCTTTAACCTCCTCTGAAAGGAGGTTCTCCCAATTCACGTATTCATAAAATATGAGGGATTTGAGGCGATCACTCTAGATTTGTTCCTACTTTGCTGCAAGATGCCTTTGAATGAATAACAAAAGATCATTACTGCTTCAACTGGCAAGCCACAGACCTCCATGCTGTGCATCCAGAGTCCCTGCCAATATCCAGCTAAATGTGACAGCCACAGATCTCCAGCAGACACATCGATCCCAACGCACTGACCTGCGGCGTGGGAATCAAAGTGCTTTTCTTGCTCCTTTAAGCTGCCAGACTAAATTATGCTCCATTTATACACAACCACAAAGCTGATCCTTCCAGCTCCTGCACCCTCAGCAGGAGCACCCGTGGTGGAATGTGTATGTGGCAAAGTAATGCTGAAGGAAACCAAATGTGCCTGAGCACATTTCTCCGTGCACCACTCAGCCTCCTGAAAGATAGAAATGGGTTTTTTCCCCTCCCTCCCTTCAGCTTTAGGCCATCAACAACATTACTACATCAAACTTCTCAACAACTCCTCACAGTTGGTTCTATCTTGGCCACTTCTTCGCAGCTCCAGGCTCCATAAACACGGGCAGGCTGCCAGGGGAGCCGTGTGCCGGCGCCGTGCCAGGCACACACATCCCATCCTGCTCCTCCAAAGCATCCTGGACAGCCTGTGTGGGCAGCAATCAGGCTGCAACTAAAGAGGAAACGTAACCAAAGGCAGGAGCTAGATCCATGTTAATAGCCAGAGTACTAATGTGGAAAAAACCCAGGGATAGTGCACTTGCTGTAGTACCAGGCACAGTTTCACAGGGACCTGTCCCGATTTGGGGCAGCATGTGAAAGTACAAGTTTTGGGTGAGAGGAGCACAAAGGGAGATCACTTGTGCCAGAGCTGTATGCACACAGCAGTGCCAGTGCATGGAGCTGAGGAAGGGGCAGGGGAAATGTTCCTGGAGAAGAGAAGGTTACATGGAGACCTCAGAGCACCATCCAGGAGCTGAAGGGGCTCCAGGGAAGCTGCAGAGGGACTCTGGGTTAGGAACTGCAGGGATAGGACAAGGAGCAATGGGGAGAAATTGAAAGGGGAGATTTAGATTAGGCAGAAGTTTTCCCTGTGAGGGTGGTGAGACACTGTCCCAGGTTGCCCAGGGAGGCTGTGGCTGCCCCAACCCTGGCAGTGTTCACAGCCAGGTTGGCTAAAGCCTTGAGCAACCTGCTCTGGTGGGAGGTGTTCCTGCTCAGGGCAGGGGTTGGGGCTGGATGATCTCTAAGCTCCATTCCAATCCCTTAACATACTATAAAAATCTCCAGTTATCTGGCTGACATGGAGCTGAATGTCACTCACTCCAGAGGAAAGGAATAGCGGAGTCCCTGTAGATATGAGGAAGGAGTGCCTATGGAAGTGGATGCATACATGGCTGTCCTTCACCTTAAAGTTGCCTGAAGGTGCAGCTGGATGGAGCATCCCTCCTGAAAGGACCAAGGCCTTTCCCAGGACAGTGACAAGGACTCCTGGCACTGAGGACAAATGACCTAGAAGATGACTTTGAAATAATTTGTACCAGAACCCAAAGATTTGCCCAAGAAATGCAGTGTCTGTACATAAACAGAAACTCTTTGCTGTTGTGTATCATTCCCTAGGACAGGCCTGATTCATTAGTGCCCTTTGCAGAGAGAGCAGACACAGCACCAACCAGTTCAAGGAGGAGCTGGAAATCAGAGCCAGGCTCCATTCTCATCCCTGCCACTGCCTCACAGCCTGATCTGAGCAAGACAAGGCACTGGCTCATCTGTGCATCAGCTGCCACGAGTGCTGCTTACTGCACTGCTCCCCAATGTGCTGAGAAAGCCTCCAGAAGCAGTGCTGCACTTGTTAAATTCCAAGCACCATTCCCTCTTTACTACTAACATTCACACAGACACGACCACAAAGCAGGGAAAGGAGTTATGGGGTTGGAGATGTGCATCCCTGAGCCATCACGGCCCAGCACGTGGAGAGCTCAGCCTCTCTGGCAGGAAAATTCCTGCTCCTGAAAGGAGCCTTTGCTTTCATCTCCTGGGGAAGTGCTGCTGCCATGTGACTGTAATGCATGAAGGCCAGAGCACAACTGATAAGAGACAAATTCTCCTGTGAGATGTGCATGTGTCAGCTCGGCACGTGCTGCTGCTCGGATTAGATCCAGCTCAGGAAGAAGAAATACAGAATGCCTTCCCTGCTCAGGGCAGGGGCTGAGGAAAATGCAATCAGTACAAAAGCAGAGCCTGGGCATCAATATTTTTTTCCCACAAGCCACATTTAACACGTCGCCTGACAGTGTTAAAGAAAATAAACAAGATTTTACGACTACCTGAAAGGGTTGCAGAGAGGTGTGGGATGTCTGTCCTGCCAGGGCTGCAGGGAGAGGATAGAGGGAATGGCCTTGAACTGAGACAGGGCAGAGTCAGATTGGATGTTAGGAGAAATGTTTTCCCTGTCAGGGTGCTCAGGCACTGGAATATTGCCCAGGGAAGTGGTGGAGTCACCATCCCAGGAGGTGTTTAAGAGGTGTCTGGATCTGGTGCTAGAGGATATGGTTTAGGGTTTAGTGGTTCCAGCAGTGACAGATTAATGGTTGGACTTGATGATCTTAGAGGTCTCCTCCAACCCTAACGATTCTATGACTCTGGGAGCAGCCAGAGGGGACACTTGTTAGCCAGGCTGTGACTAAGGAGCAGCAAGGCAAGGCTGCAGCTCAGCCACCTCCAAAGTCCACTTCAGCTTCAGAAAGGATGAGAAAACACAGCTCAGGTATTCAGCCTCACCAGC